GGAGAGTTCACCAAGACCACCGGTTACACCAAGGAGGAGGCGGTCGGACGAAACTGCCGTTTCCTCCAGGGTCCAGAGACGGAGCCCGAGTCCATCGCCGTCATCCGCAACACTCTCTCCAAGGGTCAGGACTGCCACGTTAAGCTCACCAACTACCGCAAGAATGGCGAGAAGTTCCAGAACCTCCTGTCCATGAAGCCTGTGTTCGACGCAGACAACATTTACCGGTACGTGATCGGCGTGCAGTTCGAAATCCTCCAGGACGAAGGGTTGAAGAAGCGTCTGGTGCAGTTGGACAAGCTCCTGCGCCTGCTTCCTAGCCGACTGAACCTCAAGTCCAAGGCTAAGGCTAGAATGAGGGGGAAGATGGCTTCCAAAATGAACGGCGAGGTGTGTCTTGGGCCTTATACTCCGATGGTTCCACGGCAACCGGTAATGCTCTCGAAATTGTTCATGATGGAATCGTGAAGGATGTTGAAGCACAGTTGAAACCCTTGGTTCGTTCATGACCTGGAACGAATGTGTTTTTGCGAACATGTCCTCTACCTTTGCGCTCGTGCCTGGCTGCCGCTCCTCGTAGGCAAACTCGGCATTGCAAGACAAGGAGTCTATTGTCAAAGCTGAAGCTGCTGAGGGCGACGTGACTATGTCAGGCCCAAGGGCTATGGTCGAGGATGAGGTGCGTTTTGTTCCTTTCTTGGTCCACAAGCATCCTACCATTGCCGCTCTTTGTTTGTCAACTCTGAAGAGATGTGGTTTTGGTTCGAACTGCCAACAAACGAAATGTTCAGTATTGAAAGAAATTCACACCAGGTTCCGCCTTCGACTTAACCCCCTGTGCGTGTACCGGCGACAGGTTGACATGGACTGCGCCCGCATGAACTTCGACAACACGATATTTTCGTTCACGAGAATCATGTGGCTCAGTAACCCGACCAAGTACCTGTCTGCCCTCGTGGCCGACTGGCCATGCCGAGCTGTCCTCTCCGAGTTCGTCAAGACGTGTTCCGTGGTGTACGAGGGTCACTTCGAATTTTTCGTGCAGGTAAAAAACTGTTTTACAGCCCGGTACAACATTCGACCAGGCTAGCGATGTATGATATCAACTCTACCAAATATCGCCATATCCCTGCATTTTGACTCGCACATCACATCACGCCCGGACTTCCAACTTCCAAGAACAATCGTCGTTTCCTGCGCAGTCCGAAGTGCTCCGCAACACGCCTCCTGGGGACAAGGAAAAAGTGTCGAAGGCTATGCACCGGGTCATGGACCACAACCAGCTGTTTTATTGCACCAACAACGAGATCGTCATTGGCGACATGCCCAAGACCAACATGGACCCGATCCACGCCGAGGTACGTGTGATTTAAGGTGAAATTTCTTCCTGGGCTTGATTTGGGATTTAGACTGCCTGGAGTTGGCACTCTGTCGTGGTTTGAACCGGTTGAGTGACGGGATGACCCACACGCGAACTCACTTGACTTCATTATAAGGTGGCCTACATCCCCGATGGCGCGTGACCTCGCAGATTGAGTTGAAGGCACAGCAGTCCCTGTACTTCTTGGCACACGACATGTTTCCTCGCTTCCTGAACTCGAGATTCGGGCTGTCTCTCATCAAGCAGCTTCGCGCACGTGAAGTTGCTGGGGAGAAGGTGAGGGGTTAGTTTCGATATTCCTCGTCCAAGTAGCAGGGAGGGATATGACGGGTTGTAACTCGCTTTTTCGCCAGAACGTGAACAATGCCTCAAGACATCCCCCTGTGCCACTCTTTTCGTGCCAGCCGCCAATCAACACCGTCGCTCTAGACAAGAACTCGAGTTCTTCGCAGTTCTGGCTGGAAATGTTCAAGACCATGTCTGAGACGGTATCCATCGGGATGGTGGTGGCCGATATGAACGTCCCTGGATGTCCCCTCGCTTACGTAAACGAGGGATTCAAAACTCTCACCGGTGAGGAGAAACATACGTATTCCAGACTACCACAACGTGGTTCCACAATTCCCAGGAATGAAATGTGACCGAGGGCTGGTCCGTTCGTTAGCGCCAGGGGCTTGTTTGAAGTATCCTTGTGCCTCTTGCGCACAACATCAGACGTGATCTCCATCATAGTTTTTTTTCCATTCCTCACCCTCGTTGTCGCCGTGGTGTCACCTTTGAATTCGTTTCGAATCCTCTTCTCAATAATTTCCTGAAATATCAAGGCTACGGCAAGGAGAACATTGGACGAAACTGCAAGTTCTTGCAGGGGGAAGAAACCGAGGGGTACATGGTGGAGGAGATCATGCACGCTCTGCAGCAACACGAACCCCTGTGCTGCAAGCTTCACAACCACAAGGCTGACGGCCGAAAGTTCCAAAACCTCCTCTGCCTCCACCCTGTATTCGGCAAAGAAGGAGAGTACCTGTACCAAGTGAGTATCAGCGAACCTCTCAAGTACGTTCGTCGGTCATTGCTTCAGAAATTTGTCTCGTGCAAAACTGAAAGTCGGTTTAGTGCCACTTTCATTCCTTCGCCCCTCTTGAAAACTTTCGTGCCCTTGCACCCTCTACTTGCTTGCTTGTTTCCATCTTTTTTCATCTTCGTTCCTCCGACGGAAGTAGATCGGCATGCAGGTGGAGCTGCATTCGCACCCCGGCATGATGGCACAGCTCATGGAGATGGAACGAGTCCTGCGTCTCTTACCAAGCTGTGTCACCGGAGACAGCGGTGATGTGAGCCCGAGATACACGACAGGAAGGAGTCAAATCATCTTTAGAAAACACATATCGGTATCCTCGTACAAGCACTTGTTTCGGGAAAACGATATTTGTGTTGAAATTGTTTATGTTCCGGCGCTTGTCGGCCCTCCCTTTCATCTGCCAGGACATCCAACGCATAATCCCGGTGGATTACACCGGCGACGGAAACTTGCCTCCCCGTGTGTTAGACATGTCGGCTATTCCATCGACCGGGTCTGGAACGGGGGGCGGTATGGTGGGGGGTATGATGGGAATGCCTGGTATGGGTATGCCTCCGTCCGCGGCCGGAGGTGCGGCAAAGGCTGCTGACCAAGAGGTTGGAGATCAGATCAAATCTGAAATCACCGTGGGTGGCAAGAAGAATAAGACTCACTATGGGAAGAAATTCGGGAAGAAGCACAAGTCTGCCATGCTCGACTTCACCAAGTCACTGTGGATGCAGGATGCTGCTGCATCTCTCAAAAATGTTCTTAAGAGCGAGGTAAGCTCCCTGTTCGACCAAACACGAGCCATATGCAACTTCAGCAACGTGATGGCACTACTGCTCATTGTTGTTGTACGTCGTCTCTTCGAACCAGAGGCCAGGGAAAACCCGAATGGTGTGCAGTGCGTTCGTATTGATGACTATGGCGAACGTTGATCAGACTCCTCTGAACGTCTGCATCGACCATTTCCCGACAGGTGGCGCAGAAACAAATGCTTGCCTTCTTGGGGACCGAGTACGGCGACGCCCAGCTTGAATTCTTCCTTGAAGCGCAGAAGATGGCCGACCTCGAAGGACAGGCACAGCAGGATGCCGCCCTGAAAGTTTACACTCAGTTCGTTGCAGCCCAGGGGTCAGGCATAGGGGCCCAAGACCGCACCAAAGGAACCCAAGAGCTTTGGGACAAGTGCAACAAAGAAGCTGGTGATACGGTAGACGGCCCCACTGCTGTCGCGATTGTGACCGACGAGGCAGAGAAGACCCTCAATATGCTCGCCTTCGACGCTTTCCCCCGGTTCCTGAAGTCCAAATACTGCCAAGCCGTCATGGACGACCTCAAGAAGAAATCCGGCGGGGACGTGAGTAGTGCGTGGAATATGTATCTGTTGGCGTCATGATATTCGTTTCGTGCCTAATCCTCAATGTATTTGTTTGGAAGCTCACCCGCCGATCAAACGAATAAAACGACATTATTGGCATCCCCGGCTGTTCCCGGTCCCTGATCTTGATACGCGTGTAGTCGTCGGCACTGGAGGGTGCACTGTCCTCAGCTGGGTCGAATATGCCTCAAGACGCGGACGACTGGCTCAACATGTTCATCTCTTCGGCCGAGTCATTCCCGGCGTGCATCGTCATCTCCGACATGACCATCCCTGGCGCCCCCATGGTGTACATCAA